GAGAGAGAGAGAGAGAGAGAGAGAGACAGAGAGACAGAGACAGAGAGAGGTATTTGTGCTTCCTTTCTCTCCCTCTCCTTCTCCTTCTCCCTCTCCCTCCCTCTCCGCCTCCCTCCCTCCCTCCTTCTCTGTCTCTCTGTCTCTCTCTCTGTCGCTCTCTGTCTGTCTCTCTCTCTCCAACCATGATCTCCCCTCCCCAGCAGGCCAGCCACCATCGCTGATGTTCTCCTCACCTGGCCAGACGGCCTCACGCTCTCCTCCTCCTCCTCCTCCTCCTCCTCTTCCTCTGCACTCAATCGGCTACTAGCGGCTTGGGTGGCTCTGCTCCATCCGAGTTGAAGAAAGTGGAGGCGCAGCAGAAAGCAGAAACTTGGTGGGATGAAACCCACAAATGGAATATGCAGCTAGAGGGATTTAAATTATTTTTTTTAAAAATAGATTTAATAAAAGAGGAGATAAAGTTGCACTATATATATAAAAAATAACTACATCTCTAGAGAAGTAGAGCACAACAATGATGAAATCAAGAAGAGACTGGACTGCCATCTGTCAGAAATGGTGTAGGGACTCCTGCTTGGGCAGGGGGTTGGACTAGATGACCTACAAGGTCCCTTCCAACTCTGCTATTCTTCTCTTCTCTTCTCTTCTATGCTATTCTCTTCTATGCTATTCTACTATTCTATTCTGTTCTGTTCTATTCTATTCTATTCTATTCTATTCTTCTTATCATTACTCTAATTCTATTCTATTCTATACTATAGGCAAACCAATCAAATAGAGGAAATAGATGAACTTTTTGCTAGTCAGTTAACTAAAGTATGTAGGAAGCACATCACAATAGTAATGGGGGACGTTAATTACCCTGACATCAACTGGGAGACAAACTCTGCACCAAGTGGAAAATCAAACAGGTTCCTGACTAACCTAGCAGACAATTTTGTCTCCCCAAAAGTAGAGAAGGGAACCAATGGATCAGCCATACTGGACTTATGAAATGATAGAAGGGGTTGAAGCCACAGGAATCTTTGTGGGGGGGTGGTGATCATGCAGTGTTGGAATTCAACATTATGCAAGCACACGCAATAGAACACAGTCAGACTAGAGTCTTGGACTTTTAAGAGAGCTGATTTCAATAAACTTAGAGAACACTTGGGAAGGATTCCATGGATGAGAATTCTCAAGGTAAAAACAACCCAAGAAGCTTGGGAAACTTTGAAGAGTGAGATTCTAAAAGCCCAGTCTAGCACAATACCAACAAAGAAGAAAAATAACAGCTCTCAAAAGAAACCAGCCTGGTTGCATAAAGAACTGTCTGATAATCAAGCAATGAGTCTGCAAACAGCTCTGTTCTGTTTTTCTAGTCCAGCCCCCTGCTCAGAGAGAGACCCTATACCCATTCCAGACAAAGGGCTGTCCAGTCTCTCCTTAAAAACCTCCAGGGATGGAGCACCCACAACTTCTGGAGGGAAGCTTTTCCACTGGTTAAGTGTTCTCATTAGCAGGAAATGCCTCCTTAGATCTCCCTCTGAGGATCCACCCTTCCTTCCTTCCTTCCTTCCTTCCTTCCTTCCTTCCTTCCTTCCTTCCTTCCTTCCTTCCTTTCTACCTTGCCTCCCTCCTTCTTTCCTTCCTTCCTTCTTCCTCCCTCCCTCGTTCCTTCCCTCGTTCCTTCCTTTCTACCTTCCCTCCCTCCTTCTTTCCATCCTTCCTTCCTTCCTTCCCTCCCTCCTTCCTTCCCACCATCCCTCCTTCCTTCCTTCCTTCCTTCCTCCCTCTCTCCTTCCTCCCTTCCTTCCCTCCCTCCTTCCTTCCTTCCTCCCTCCTCCCACTTTCATTCTTTCTTTCCTCCCTCCCTCCCTCCCTTCCTAGCCCAATAGGGGAAGAGGGGAGGGCGAGAGATTGGCAGCGCTGCCCGTGGCCGTGGCTTTCCCACGGGGGGAGGAGCGGGAGGCGGGAGGTGGGAGGAGGGCCGAGGGCGGGGACCGTCCCGGTAAAGAGGAAGCGCTCCCGGGCTGCGGGGAAAGGAAGCGGAGCCGGGCGGGCGAGCGGGCCATGGAGGCGCTGGCGGTGCTGGCGGCGGGCGCGGCGCTCCTGCTGGGGCTCTACGCGCTGCTCTACTACAAGTTGGTGGCGGCCACCCGGTGTCGGAACGCGGTCAGCCTGCGGGGCAAGACGGTTCTCATCACAGGTAGCTCCGGGGGGCTGCTGCGCTCCCATCCGTGGCGGGGGGGGGGGCGTCGCCTTTCTTTCTTGTTAAATAAACCCCCCACCACCACCCCACCTCAGTGGCTCCAGGCAGGATCAAACTCCCGGAATCAAAGCGCAGCTCGAATGTCAAAAGTGAAATGCGAGTCACAGGTTAACCATAAACCAGGTTGTCCCCCATCCAGGTGGAACCAAAGGTGCCTTTGACAAAAGCAGGAAAGTCCATCCCAAAAAGCTCCTTTGGAAGAAAGCAGGGGATCGTGATGGGAGTAGAGTAGAGTAGAGTAGAGTAGAATAGAATAGAATAGAATAGAATAGAATAGAATAGAATAGAATAGAATAGAATATGGAAAGAATGGAATAGAATAGAATAGAATAGAATAGAATAGAATATGGAATAGAATAGAATAGAATAGAATAGAATAGAATAGAATAGAATAGAATAGAATAGAATAGAATAGAATAGAATATGGAAAGAATGGAATAGAATAGAATAGAATAGAATAGAATAGAATAGAATAGAATAGAATAGAATAGAATAGGAATGGAGCTGGAAGGGATCTTGGAGGTCTTCTAGTCCAGCCCCCTGCTCAAGCAGGAGAACCTATAGCAGGTTTTTCATGCCTAAGGCAGGACTAGAACTCACAGTCTCCTGGTGACTCGGCTGGCTTTCGTGCCTAAGGCGATTTGGTGATTAGCCAAAGTTACCCAGCTGGAGTAGAATTTATGGTCTCCTGGTTTCTACCCTAGACCATTTTCGCTCTATGAAACTCGCAGAATGTATATCGTATATGAAGTGAACAGGTTGAAGAGAAATCTGAGATTGTGGTTGGATGGAATTGATCCGATCCTGAAAAAGAACGAGGTCATTTTAAAGAATGAAAGGCAACAGAAGAAATGGAGTCTTTGCCAAGAAAGAAACGCATAGTAGAGAAACATGGTACATAGTTATTGTTTTAGCTCTCTTTCCTTCCTTCCTTCCTTCCTTCCTTCCTTCCTCCCTCCCTCCCTCCCTCCCTCCCTTCCTTCCTCCCTCCCTCCCTTCCTTCCTCCCTCCCTCCCTCCCTGCACTCTTTTTTAAAATGTTTTATTGATTTTCTAATTTTACATTTAAGTATTTAAAAAGCAATGGGGCGGCTTAGTTAATTGATAATTCAATGACATACAAGTATCTTTAGGACAAGTCTCAAACTACCACATTAAATATTTCCTCCCTTTTCCCCTTAGTATTTACTGTCACATGTTTAAACTAATACAATTCTTATTACTGTATATCAATTAAATAAAAATAACATTCTTACGTTTATCGATAATTTTTAGCTTATACATATCCTGCTATTATTTTAGCATTTGTCTTTATAGACAATCAATGCCTTAATTAGTTTTTCCCCAATTTTTAGTTTCCCATTAATATTTAAATTTAACATTTAATATTTATAATTTCCAAGTTTTAAGTAACCAAAGTTCCCTTTAATTCATCACAAAGTCTAATATTCAGGATACACATCTTATCTATTTAAATATATTCTATTTCTCACCATCTTACACCATCTAGTTCAGTGGTTCTCAACCTGTGGGTCGGGACCCCATTTGGGGTCGATCGACCATTTCATGGGGGTCGCCAAGCAAGGCTGTCCGCCATTTTTGTGTCCGCCATTTTTTCCCCCTTTTCCGGCGGGTGCCTTACCTCCCTTGGGCTGGGCCAGCTGGTGGTCGGCCTGCTC